GAGATTTTCATTTTGGTTCTGTTAGAAAGAAACTTTGTGATGAAAGGGCTAAACTCCAACCACACTGCCAAACTTGATCTTCTGTCAAGTTTTGTTTGGCTGAGGCAGTGAATTATCTCATTCTCTCCTTAATGTTTCAATGGCAACAAAGGACTTTGAAGTGAGGAGAGAGGGGGACATTTCTAGCTCATCTAATAAACTATGCCAAGTGCATACCCTGACTCAAATTTTTCTGAAATGCTGTCCCCTGAGTTGTTAAAGTAAATATCCTTTCCTTGCAGCGTAATGTAATGTTTTAGCCACCATATTTTTGTTACCTTATTTCTCTGTTGCACTTTCCTAGCACAGCTGGAATTCAAATCATATGTAACTTATTACAGAAACATCCAAATAAGCAAAATTCTTGTTTCCTTGGATTGCTTTTGATTCTCTTCCTTTTCACCTTTTTTTTTTGTTTTTTTTTTTGGAGCCAAAATACATCTCACCGCTATGAAATTTGTAGAAAATAAAAAAAAAGAGCTTACTCTATTTGATGAAAAAAAAAAAAAAAAACGGTTGAGTTCTCATAAAGACTGTCTGTTTCCATTCCTAACATGTTATCACATCAATACAAAATTTAATCCACCTCACTTAAGTCTAGTGGAAAAATCCAGCAAGCTGGAGTCGTTCAGATGAAATAACTCATCCCACATTTAATTTTGCCTTATATGATCCTGATGAAACAATTTGAAAAGACTACGAGACTGAATATATGGGGAAGCTTATTTTATGCTGCGTTAGTAATATCATCGACACTTATACGTTGGTGTACAGAGTCCCCAAATTTTTCCTGGGGGGCGGGGAAGGAGGCTGCCCCCACAACCCCCCCAATTCTGCCACCTATATTTTTCATTGGTTGATTCACAAATTTCTCAATACTTACAATCCAAAAAGGACTTTAGGGAGTTTTCTGCTTTTCCTGTACTTATTAATCGCCGTGCTTACAGCTGAGGGAGGTCGCATGGGATGTTTTCCATCTGCTTTGATGACGACTTCGATATCCTTTGGGTCTTTGACATAAACCACTGATGTTCCCATAAAATTCCTCTTAAAAACAGGACCGTACTTATCAAAAGAGTCCTTCAGCTCCGCTATAATTTCTTTGAACTCAGATTTTCGTAGAAAGTTCAGCATATCGCCTAAGATAGGCCATCCCTTTGGGCCAGGCATATTGTTGAACGAGCGAACCCCATCCTGAAGATCAGTTCGCATGCCACCGTCTCTTCTTAAGGAATAATTCAAGAACTTGTGAAGTTTATGAAAAGGATTAAGAAGCCAGACAATGACCGACACCAAAAGTGCAGAAAACGCTAGGTACAGAGAGCCTTCCATTTCGCCAAGATAAGAAAATTTCACCACAGTGTGCAAGATGGTGACCTGCTCAATCGTCCGAGGGGTGCTAGGGAAATTGGGGCGAGGAGGTCACTGACAATACGAAATCACGCAACGCTCTTTAGAGAACGTTGCGTGACATCCAGAGGAAACTTCGCAAGGGAGATCTCTCTTTACGGACACCAATCTTTTTCGAGGAGTTCCCTATGCCCCGGAAAAATTTCTGACTTATTTCATCCATGTATGAAGGACTCTAATAATATAGAACTCTGTGATGCGGACAAGGAACGGACCACAAAACTTCTTTACATTATTTAATCTGGACTCACGCTGAGATCTTTTGGGCAGACTGCTAGTGGTAGGTGCTTAAGTCTATTACTAAGTCGATCATGGAGGGCATTGCCACTCAACAGTAGGAATTCTCAGTCATTGACAAGTTTTACCTAAAACTTACTTTATTCAAGAACTACTCCTTGAGTGCGCTTTGGATATGACGATGGATAGTTTTTCTCAATAAACGCGAGTGTAAGAACTGTTTTTTCGAGAGCGCCTCAACATATTGATAAATCCTCCCAACTCTTCATGCGCGCGCATGGTATCCTTGAATGAATCGGTCGATTCGATCAGTGGATGACCATCCACCGCCCAAAAAGGGCCTAAAGCAATCAGTCGTACAGTTTTAAGTATGCACATATTGGACTGAATTTATTGATAGAATGTTTTCATCTGCTAGTCAGCCCAACAAGATTAAAATGTATTAGCGCATTGTGCGTCCGAAAAACGGAAAAAAAATCCTTAACAAAGACCTCTGTCGATTTTCTTAACCATTACGTTACCTTTATGAACTTTATGATATCCCCAAGATATGGCTTTCTGAATCTCTGAACTTCATGCACTCACTTGTTTTCATTCTGTTCTAATATAAGTTTTTATGCTCCCATTTCGGAGGCCCAGTGACTTACTCTGAGTTAAGATAAAGTTAAGATTATCGGATTTCCTGTCACTAAAGCGGATCAACACTTACAAGATCGGATTGTTTATATCTCATTAAACCAGACTCATTTCCTGTCACAAAGAACGTAGTACGTGAAATCTGTCTCGCTCCTAACATGTACCTTGGTAGCTTTGTTGTCAAATTGCGTGGAAGTAGCTTCTGGGAGGCGCGGGTTTGAATCTTGTCGAAGCCTGGGATCAGGCTTCTTGTCAGCAATTTCTTTATGTTTTTTTCTACATGTATTTAAATTACACTTAAGTATAAATATGTTGATCGTGCATACAATGAATATAAAAAAAATGGCCGTTTTATTTCCAAATCTAAGATATTCCTTAGAGGCTTTAATATTACTGCAAACAAAAATTGCGTTATTCGCAGCTTAAATTTAATTGAAGACTACAAGCTTATTTCCCTAATCCAAATCCTTTCTTTTTTTTCACCCAGGACATTATCTCAATGACTCAGCTGCAGTGCTATTACTGTACAAACTTGTAACCATGCAAACAAAGCAGTTTTTGCAAAGGCCACTCCGGTTTTCCTTCAAAATCCTCGACCATTGGCCTAAAAAATCTCTCACTACCTGATCAATCAATCAGATGCAAATCCAAAACCGATCGCAAATTCGTCGCTCGTGTTTTCCAGCGCTGGAGGTAATTTAAGTTTCCCTTGGTTCTCTGTTTCAGCAAAGACTTTCTCCATTTTATTATCTAATAATGTATTTATACCTTCCTTATTGGTCTACTCTGATACACAAAAATAACCAAAAAAATTTCTCTTTACTTATAAGAAATATAAGGGTGTTTGTTATTTCTCAAGGGTTGCTAAGGTAAAGGTTCTGATACTTGGTTAAGGATTTGCTATACGGACCGATTCCACGGAAACGGTGGTGTAGTTTTAGTCGGCAAATTAGAAATAAACAAGTTTAGCCCGAGTGCCGTGTAATTAATTATTAAAAACACCTCACTTCCTCAGGCCGCACTGGGGAATATTGGCCCTGGGTCGTTTATGTGCGGACCTCGCTGCGATCGGCCCGTATCAAAACGACCTTGGGCCAATATTCCCGGCCGTCACCCTCGGTTAGCAAGCAGCTAGTGTCATATACGCGCAACTATCAGATGTCTTCAGTGATTTCAACTAAGCATTTTGGGATGTAAGATTGGTGTTCTTTCCTGGAAACACCTGCAAAAGGAAGAAGGCGAACAAGAGTTAACGGACGCAGAAATTTAATTGAAACTGGTTAACAGAACGCGAAAGTGAGACGCCATCAACGCCTCGTATTTTCATCTCTGTTATCAGCAAAACTGGTAAATTCATTGTAAAGTTAAACGAAAAAAGGCACTCACATTTATTACTTTCTCGTATGTGTGTTGTTCTTGTTCAGTCGGTTGTGCGTACTCTGGAGAACGAATTGCAGTACCAGCATGTCGAGGTCTTTGCAGACGTGCTTCAACATTTCTCCTCTCAGCGCGTACTTTTTGCCTCTGTTGCCACTTCAGGAGGCCAATTACCACGATTAACACGAGGGACAAAGTGATAATGGCAATGACAAAAGGCTGTGAATTTCTTTCACCTGAAACTAAGAAGTTATATGTGAGGTATTGGATACTGTCCAATGGCAATATAAGAAGTAGCATCCGTTAGTTATACATTAACTGTGCCTCTATCATGGACGCTGGTTTTGTTATCGACTGCATCAGTGTTAGCTCACCTTGGACCTGATAACTCGCCTTTGTTTTTACCCACCCTTTCCAACCCGCGGGCCGCACCAGGGGGGACCACCACGGTCTTGCCTCCCACTCGATGATTTTGATTTATAGCGGAGCTCGCAGAGCGTAGCCCCATAATTATAAAAAATAGTAGTAACCCATCAAGCCGAAAAAATTTGGACTTACGACCGTACGACCCTGCGATCGACCGTACAAGATGCTACTTTTAACATGCGTGGTCAATTGTACCGCAGGCACACCAACACCACGGCTTTGTCCAGTAGTCTAGTGGTCAGTGCACTGAGCTCCGAGTCGGACGACCCGGGTTCTAGTCCTGGCCGGAGCAAGGCGTTGTGCCCTTAAGACGTGCGGGGAAAAAAAATGCGAGCCCCCCTTTTAGGCTCACCTAAATTTATATATTACATATACACTTATATATATACACTTGTGGTTGTCATTTTCTTTGTGCCTAAGATTATACAGCCATTTTCATCCATCCCATTTGAATGGTCGTTGTTCAATTGAAAGTTCACAAAGACATGCTTCTCTAGGTAACCATTTGAGACAAAAAATTCCTTTTGTGTCACTTCTAACGATTCGAGTAGATCGCCAAGAAATTGAAAAAAATAGGAGTGAAGCTGTGGCCCAATAATCAAGCGGCCTGGTAGTTTAGCAAGGTACAAAAATGGCGGCTTCCGAATTCGGATAAAGATGATACTTTTTTGAAGCGCCAATCTCCTTCAATAAATTTGAAGTGCCCAGTATGAGTGACAATAGTCCTGTTTTTTCCTAAGTGTGTCGCTGTCTGAGAAAGTGTTCCAAGGCATGGAAACACGTGTTAACCGCTTTTGCTAAAACTCACTATATATGTTATCCTTGGTAAGATGTTCCAAGATCCAAACTAGTTTCACTTTCTGCCATTTGATACCAGTGTTTGGAATATCTTTTGGAATATCTCATCAAGGATACCAAGTTGACCTATGAAATTAGAAGATCCTCGCAGCTAAGAACACTACTGAAACTAGTAGTTGTAAGTAGGACCTGAAAAAAATTTCAGGCCCGCACGGGATTTGAACCCATGACCTCTGCGATACCGGTGCAGCGCTCTACCAATTGAGCTAACAAGCCAACTGGGAGCTGGTCAATGAATTGGGTACAAATAAACATCCGAGTGAATGAAGATTTAGATATATGAAAATTCACATATTTGCACTGCGGTGGAAAGATGAAATTAGAAGATCCTCGCAGCTAAGAACACTACTGAAACTAGTAGTTGTAAGTAGGACCTGAGTAGTGTTCTTAGCTGCGAGGATCTTCTAATTTCATCTTTCCACCGCAGTGCAAATATGTGAATTTTCATATATCTAAATCTTCAAGTTGACCTATGTTCCCAACTTCTAAATATTTCTTAGACAATAACATCTGAAAATTCGAAAACATGAAGAACGTAACAAATATTGCTTGTCCTTTAGATAAAGAAGAGTTGCTACAACATGTTTGCCGGTACTTTTTCGCAATAGGAATACAGTACATACCTTTAATTTTAGGAGAAGTAGGAGGCGAATAGTGAGGACCTTTGGAAATAAAAAAAAACGCACAAATGTTAAAGCCTATGTGAAGCTAAGTTTATATCACATCGTTGTCATTCTATTTTTCAAAATGAAAGTAAGCCTGAGTATTTTGAAAACCAGCAAGGAAGAAACAATTACCAAAAAAGATACATAAAACGCCTGCATTTTCACCATGGTTACAAACATATTGTCCCCAACCAACATGATTGCATAGTTTTAATCTTCTTTCATTTCCATGACAATCAACGTTATCCATCAATATTTTTCCACTTCCTGGACCAAAACCTGCAGAAGTGGTCGCGGAAAGAGCTCCACCCGCGAAACCCAACTGTCGGCAAACCACGTTGGCTTCCTTAATTGTTTATTTTATAAAAATAACCGAACAACTGAAACCTCGTCGTCGATTTGCCAGGAAAAGCTGATCCACACAGCCAAAGAGTAAAAGCATCAAATTAAACGTATTTGGTTCGATGAAGACTTCAAATTAGACCTTAGTTTGCTGTCTTAATACAAAGTTTCCTAAGGTTTAGAGAATGCTACAGCAGGCCAAGTTAATGTAATTTCCGGGTCCTTTGTAATGGAATAGGATAAGCTTTTCATTCTCAGTTCACATAATCTTCGTGATTGTAGACAAAATCAGTCCACGATGTAAAGAGTAATGTAAACCTGGTCAAAATAGCCCCGAATTTAGAGTCAGAAGAATGCCAATAAAAGATTACTAACTGAGCTGTAAGGCTTCCCTTCAATCTGGGCAATCGTCAATACGCAATATAAGTGTAAAAAACAAAACAATTAAAGACAGAAAAAGTCAGCAAAATGGCAACTTAAAAACAAACTTTTAGTATGCAGCATATTTTTATTACCTTGCATACAAATTACTCCTGCGTCTTCGAAATGGCTACAGTCGTGTATTTCCCACCCAGGATAAGAGCAATCTGATAATCTTCTTTCATTTCCACAACATTCAACCTGATCCATCCATATCTTACCACTTCCTTGCCCAAAAACTCCACCCTCGACCGCTGAAGAGGCTCCATCCAGCCCTAGTTGGCGACAAACCACGTTGGCTTCCCTAAGTGTCCAACGGTCATCACAAACAGTTCCCCAGGAACCGTTATGAAACACTTCAACCCGCCCTTCAAATGGGTTGCCCCCACCAGCTAATCGAACTGTCACATGAAAAAAAAAATCGATTATGATTAGTCTGCTCTTAATTTTAGTTTCTAAAAGGGAGTGGTAACTCAGAGGATACCGATAGACAAGCAATGGAAACTGAGAGAAATTGTGGTTTGATTGAGAAGGAATATGCTTTGAAAACACGAACAAATTAGGACAAGGAAATATTAGATCGAACAGTCACAAAAGAAAGGTAACTGACTATCCTTAATTAGTTTGTGACAACAATTTCTATCGGGAGGTGATGGGTAGAGAAAAAGGGTTAAGTCTATACTCGAGACAAGTGGATCACCCATGCCAGCCAGAGTTTATCCCGGCTTCATTAACAAGAAGCAACTAGGAGTATTACCACTCATACCTAGATGCGATACTAATCAATCGCAACGATATTAAGGTTTTTTGCAGTTACCTGGGATACATAAAACGCCTGCATCATCAACATGGTCACAGTTATGTTTTCCCCAACCAGCATGATAGCACAGTTTTAATCGTCATTTTATTTATCGAGCTCCAGTGACTATCACACAGTATTTTTACAACTTAAACCTCTACTCTCTGTGCTCAATTTTGCTAGCATTTTAAACTGAAAGAACAAGGCAGCCACAGGGCTCTATGCCAAAATACACTGAACATATCCATCCATATTTTTCCACGTCCTTGACCAAAACCTGCAGAAGTGATCGCGGACAAAGCTCCACCCGCGAAACCCAACTGTCGGCAAACCACGTTGGCTTCCTTAATTGTCCAATAGTCATCACATACAGTTCCCCAGGAACTACGGTGAAATACTTCGACCCTCCCTTCAGATGGGTTACTTCCACCAGCTAATCGAACTGTCACATGATAAAAGCAATTAGACTGTAGTTAGTACGTTCGCTAGTTTAGTTTCTATAGAAGAATGGTGGTGCGAAGGGGTTTTTCGCGATATTCTCCTCGTTCAGACGAAGGGAAGTGCGGAGGGGGATATGCTGCATCCCTATTGTGACTGACCGAGGAAAAATTTGCTTTGACGTCGAGAAGAATTTTTCATCGATGGGTTAGTTGATTTGATCAGCGGATAACCATCCAAAAATTGAAAAAAGCTCCACAGTTTGACTAAGTGGGACTCAGTTTTTAGGCTTGCCTAAGTCTAATTCTAATCATTATCTTAGTCTAATCGTTATTACCAAAAGAAGATAAAACGATGCAGTCTTTTATTGCGAAATGTTCTTTCTGATAAAAAGGAAGAACCAGGGATGGCAAGTGGCAATAGTGAGAAAATTTTTCAGCATGGGCATTTCCTGTTTACCTGGTATGATGCATATTGCACCTGCGTCCTCACTATGGCCACAATTGTGTTTCCCCCATCCCTCATGTATACATTCTGTCAATATTCTTTCATTTCCAACACAATACACGTCATCCATCCATATATTTCCAGTTCCTCTACCAAAATGAGCAGACGCGACTGCTTTCAAAGCACCCTCGAAATCAAGTTGGCGACAAACCACGTTAGCATCCTCAATTGTCCATTGGTCATCACACACTGTTCCCCAGGAGCCATTGTGAAACACTTCAACCCTCCCTTCAAATGGGTTACTTCCACCAGTTAGTCGAACTGTCAAATGGAAAGGATAAGATACTAACAGAGTTAATTTGTGATTTTAGTTTCTATGTGGAGGTAATGAGGCGGAAGGAATATTGTTTTGCGTTATTGAGCGACGAGAGAAGCAAACGGCGAGATATTGTGACTGGCCATGGAAGAACTTGCCGTGACAAGGCGATAAATAATCTTGGATAGGTTGGTCGATGTCGATGTCGATGATCCTCACACCAACTGTTAATCCCTCAAATGTATAAACTGTTAACTAATTATTGCATGAGTCGATGCATGAATTAAATTAATAACTCTCTCCCCGCTAATTTTGAGAAAAACAACCGAACAAAACCTCGTCGATTTGCATGCAAAAGCTGATCCACACAACCAAAGAGTAAAAGCATCAATCATATTTGGTTCAGTGACAACTTCAAATTAGACCTTAGTTTGCTGTCTTAATACCAAGTTTCCTAAAGTTTGGAGAATGCTACAGCAGGCCTGGTAAATGTAATTTCCAAATGTTTTCCCATGAACTAGGACGAGCTATTTTGTGATTGTAGGAAAAATCAGTTCACGACGTGAAGAATAATGCAAACATGGTTAAAATAGCACTGAATTTAGCGTCAAAAGAATGCCAATGAAAGATTACTAAATGGGGCTGTAAGGCTTCTCTTCAATCCAGGAAATCATGGATACGTAATATAATTGTAAAAGAAACGAAACAAAACAAAACAATTAAAGACAGAAAAAGTCACCAAAATTGCAACACGAAAACAAACTTTTAGTATAAAGCATATTTTTTATTACCTTGCATACAAATTACTCCTGCATCTTCATAATGCATACAACTGTGTATTTCCCACCCAGGAAAATAACAATCTGATAATCTTCTTTCATTTCCAAAACATTTAACCCGAGCCATCCATATCTTTCCACTTCCTTTCCCAAAACGTCCACCCTCGACCGCTGAAGAGGCTCCATCCAGCCCTAGTTGGCGACAAACCACGTTGGCTTCCTTAAGTGTCCAATCGTCATCACAAACTGTTCCCCAGGAACCATTATGAAACACTTCAACCCGCCCTTCAAATGGGTTGTCCCCATCAACTAATCGAACTGTCACATGAAAAAAAGTAATTCCATGGTAATAAGTCTGTTCGTAATTTTAGTTTCTACAAGGGAGAGGTACCTCAGAGGATACCGATAGACAATTAAATGAAATTGAAAGAAATTGTGGCTTCAATAAGGAAGAGTATGCTTTGAAAACACGAATGAATTGGGGAGTTTTTCCTTGCTTAGTCGAAGGGAAATGCTGCCTAAGAAATTATGTATACCTAGAGAGGTTTAACGATTGTTATACTAATTTTGCTTGAAATATAATTATTTTTAGAGGAAAAAAATATTACTTTTTCACATAATTGCAGCTAAACTGTAGTAACCAAATGCGAGGTCTGCGGTTTTTTAAATAGTGTTGGTTTCGGAGTAGCCCTAAAAATTGTTTGGCCTCTACGCTTTCCTTGGAGGTATGTTTTGAAAATGGATCACCTTGAAACCCCTCGCTCTAACGAAGGGCTAACGCTCAAAATGTGAGATTTAGAAATTACGTTGGCCAGTTTACATCATCAATTCAGTTGATAAAACCAAATCAACTTTAAAACCTAGCCTGTTAGTTCATATAACGTGGCATTGTACCACATCTAACTTGAACAGGGAAAGTACATGCATGTATCATCGCACTGAGAGAAACGACCGTCAAACCAATAAGTTAGTGAAAAAAGATCTTAGGCTCTTTTGCTGATAGTAATAACAGTACATACTATCAATAAATGTATCTTGACAAGTCCTAAGATAATTACTCCCATAACAAAGCAGAAGATCAAGATATATTTATCTCAATGAGTTAAAGTAGCTTACCCACGTTTCCAGTCACAAAATTTTGTATCAGGCAACCTATAAAATAGAGCAGCTGATATAAGTGTGGAAAATTAATTGATGGCAAAGTTACAGTTCAAAATAAACGTATCACCTGTCAGTAAAAATGAAAAGAAGACAGAGGACATCTTGTCCACAAGTTCACCTGCCAAACGTGACGGCACACGAAATAGAATATGCTCTTGAAATGGTCTGTTTTAAATCTTCCTCGAAGTTTCACTTTTTTACCCCACATCCCATAATTTCATTTTCTATGATCCTGAGCGGAAGCTTCTCTTTTTAGTCTCTGCAGGGTTATTTCACTTTAAATATTGTTCCGGCCTCAGTCTATTCTTAACTATGATGCATTCAAGTCAAGAACCCATTTCTGTTTCAATATTCTGCCAATGTTTCCGGCTTTGAGAAGTCTTCCATGAATAATTGAAGCTACCCCTACCTGACTCAATCAAAATAATTTCATTTACGTAAACAACTATCAAATGAAAGAAGACTGTTAAAGTCGGCGAAACTTCCAAATGAAACGGCTAAAGGCCTATTTCTTTCCCCTGTTCATCACAAAATAGCGAGATGCGCTAGATATTTTCGTTAGTAACAACAAAAAAAGAAAGAAACTTTCAGTTTTTCAGTTGAATGGTGCAATGCATGGTGGCAAGCTGATTGCCATCATTACCGTAAAGACCGCAAATCGCATACTTTCATCACTTCCTGAACTCTTTAGCAATATGGTGTATCCAAACACTTTGTTGGCAGTTGTGGAGGCAATTACAAGTTTAGGATGGAGAACGTCGTTCACGCTTGAACAAATACATGGAAAACTGAAAACACTCCCTGTATCACGCTCCAAATTTCGAAACTCTACATTTGTTTACGTTTCCAAAACGCTTTTAAAACATTTCTTGGCTGCTTTATTGCCCGATATGAAATGTTCACTATTACATGACAGCGACTTTTACTTCAGTTGGACGATCAACAGGCATGATATTTTCTATAAAATTCTGGTTCTTCGGTGACAAATCGCTGGCAAGTGTGTTTTAATACTTTTAAAAAAGTTCCAGTGTCCTAGCGGATTTGTACCCCCCGGTCCAAATCCGCTAACAGATATCGACCGGAGGATCCAAATTTCAACTCATGACTGAGTGAAAACATTATCCTTAACGTTCTAGTAGAAATAGATAACACTTTACGTCCCAGTGCGTACTAAAGTATGTTTTTAATCCGAAACATGCGTATCGCCAATGCATACGAACCGGCAGCTGGAAATGACCCGTCGGATGTTTCTTTTGACCAAAGGAAAATGCGCAAGTACTTAGTTTAATGTTTGGAGAAAGGTCGTTTTGGAATCTTTTCCGCGATAGCCGAACACCGCTAGATTCAATAAGAAACAAACTTGTAACACTAATTTTTTTCTTTATGGTTCAATGTCTGAGTGTTTGGACGACATGGTACAGTGCGAGTTGTGCGAGGAATGGTTACACATAAGCTGCGAGGGATTTAAGACTGCCCCGGAGGGAGCGAGTAGCTCTGCATTGTCTGCAGACCGCCAGACTCTAGACGTCTTCGTAATTGTTAAAGTGTTACTTCGGATCCCTCAACAGTTAATAATCGTTACAATTAGAAAACAAAATTGAGTTCGATGTAATATTCTCCACTTTTGTGAAGACGTAGACATTAATGTTGATTTACATCTGAAAATAAGCTGATAGTTCCAATAGTTCAGAATGGAAACATTTTTACTTTTCATAGGCTTTACGAACGACTTGTATTAGGAGTAGTTACTTCGTTCTTGTTCAGAAACTGTTTAATGTTATTTAATTAGAAAATCAGGCTGTTATTTTTGTGACTAGACGCAATAGTCTCCACTATTGTTATGACGTTTCGTATCAATGTTGATAATGGTGATTCGCAGCAGAAGAAGAAAAGATTTATTGTAACAATTTCAATAGTTCGAATGCAGTAATTTTTTTGCATCTAATTCTTGCGTTTACTGTACGACTCGCTATAATAAAAGCGGCAGAATTGGAACGAAATGACTGTTTTTCTTTACCTTTATTGAGGAATTTTGTGTTGTGATTGAAAAGAACATCGACAAAAAGCTTGCAATTAGAATTTGTTACCAAATTTGATACAAATGATGCTTAAAAGGAAAGTTTGGTAGGGGTCCAAATCTGCGAACGGGGATCCAAATCCGCCGTGACACCGGCTGCCGCCAGCAGCCGGCTGTTATTTTGAACCCGACCTTTCAGTCGAAAAATTTAGGTCCTTCGAATTCTAGCAAATATACTTCACCTCACTTGCGTGACACTGCGTGACATGAGTTGGGTGTTGAGAAGAATTTTATGAGCATGCGTAGCGCATTTGTGGATTCCAGACTGAAGCAAGTGCAGAGCCATATACGTTCAAAACCTTGTAAAATTTAGTAGACTCCATAAGAAAACAAGATCACAAGCTTTATGCATATCAAGCTTTCATATTCTTCATTACCTCACTTTTGTGTTGGCTTGAAGTAAAAAAACTTCGGAATTCTGAACAAGAGACAGTTAAGATCATGATCTGATCACAAACCTGATAAATTTGCAAGGAGACTCTGGCTCGCTCTTGCAATGTTAGCAATGCATGGTGGTTCCATAATTTAGAGATGAAAAAACATAAGCTTAGAACAACTTGTTCCTTAATTAAATACGGGAAAGAAAATTTTTTCCTTAATGGGTGAATTGCCTTGCATAAACCACGGAACACAAAGAAGACTTGATCATGACGCTTTATTGGCGATATTTTGTTCAATCTATAATCAACAGGTTGGAGTTTATTTCTGCATGCTTTGAGAACAGTGAATCATCTAGCTACTATTTTTTCTCTTCGCATTTTTCATCATCATCTTGGTCTACTTGGTTTGAAAAGACCAAACGTCTCCCTTGTAAATAGTTTTCTCGTCCAATTCAGCATCTACTCGCCAGTAATAGGTAGACCTGGAAGAAAGATTTTCCTTCAAGTAATACACGTTGCCATCAGCAGTGATCTTCTCCTTGTACTCGGCGGAGTTCCGTGATGCATCGGCAACGTTCGACTTGTCCGTTCCAAAGTATACATGGTGAGTTGAGGCACCAAATGCGTTTAACCACATTACAGCATCTCTGACAGACTTTAAAAAAAAATTGATAGGTTAAAGAAGTATGCATGACTTCATAGAGTCTCCACGAAATAGAATAACAGAGGCAGGGAGACGTGTATTAAATGTAGTTATCTAACAATAATAGAATCAGTACCTCAATGAGTTTTGTAAAGGTTTCCTCGGCTTTAGGAAATTAAAAAGATGTGATTTTTCCATCTTCAAATTTAGTCTGCATTTCGCAGTGTTGACCGGATTAAACAATTATCTCTCCTTCTTTTAAGTCTTACCCATTTTGGTTTTGAAGTAAATGGCAAACGATTTTTTCATTCATTCTATTTTACGACGTGCTCTATGAAGTTGGAAATGAATACAATCTCCGATTCCCAACTCCCAACAAAATTCCTAGTTTCTGTGGTTTGTTTAAAAAAAAACAAAGAATATTTTTCTCAAGGAAACGAAAGAAATATTTGTCGCTGTAATTATTGACTCGGTGTCTCATTTTCGCATAACTGTCTTTTTAATTTCATACCTTCACCGATTTGCTGCCATCAGGAGGCACAGGAGTGCTGGTCTTATAGAGCTGCCGTCCAGGAATCCAATAGAATCTACCATTTGGATCATAACGGTAGGGTCCAACGTCATCTTTAATGTATTTGGAGTCTTTACGAGGCCGAAAGTCCATGTTATCCGCGTCTTCAACCTGTTCCCTCACGTTACTTACAATGTTGAAAGCAACACGGCTTCCTGCAAGAGGATATATGCCACGGGGCTTCTTACGTTTGCCACCATTTGCCACATCTGCTGCGTTGCGCAAAACCTCCGTTTGTTTATTGATCTCAACTGGATTCGAACGAACGAACTTCAAAACACATAAAGAGCAACCTGCGCCTTGTTGGTCACCGCTTTTATCATTTCGTTTGTCGAAGGCGAGGTTGTTTAGCACTGTGTGGGATTCGCCTTTGATCATGATCCCGCCGCTCCTCCAAACAACGTTTTCCTTCATTGTACCGCCGCGTCCCACGCGCGGCGGCTGCCCATCGAAACGGAGACCATACTTAGGACTCGAGTGAACCCAGTTGTTTCTGCACAGGGCGTTCGTCTGTGCACCAATTTGGAACTGAATCCCGGATCCGTCGTGTTGTAGAATTCCCCAGCATTGATGGTGAATATGGTTGAGCTTGATCACTGGATTTCGTCCTGATGGACGGAAGCCAGCGCTGGCACCATTAAAACGCAACGTGTTCCTAACGAACTGATCATTTATGCCGTTGGATACAACAGTTCCCAGTCCTCCCATCTTAGTTCGCACGAGGGCAACTGACCAATCATTGTACTCGAATAGATTATTCTGTAGCAGCGATCCATCACCACTGTACTGGAGGGCAAGACCATCGGTTCCATAAAAGGTACTGTTAATCAACTGGAAGTTGTTCCCACGGCTTGGTTCAATTATAGTCCAGCTGGGTGGAGAGGTGGAACCAAGCATGCGCATAGAGTACGATGGGAATTTGAAGTTGATTGAGTGAAACGAAAGACCTCGTATGATGTCTCGTTTGTGTGTTGGACGAGCTTCGATTGTGGTGCCAAAGAATGAGAGCTGTTTGAAGTGGAGATACTGGCAGTTTGAAATGGTGAAAGCGTACGTTTGTACCTATATTGAAAATATAAGTAAGTAGAAAATATTTTATCTGAGCTTAATGATTCTTATTCTTTAACTGATATGGAAAAACAGAACTTCTGAGCTTGCACACCCCAAAGTTTCTTCATTCTTTTAGTGAAGAGCAAATCTTAATATTCTAGTATTATGTTGCACGACGTTAAAATGCTGGTGCGCCGAGAACGCTGTCATGAATGTTAATAAAAAAGATTCTGATCTGCTTCTTTATTTTTTTTCTCAAAGGACACGGTAACGAATCCTGCAATCTGATTGGTTCTTAGCGCGGTCCACATTTTCCTATCTCTGGCCACGGGTAACGGTAATGCTTTCGTGAGTCGCCGAGTACATCCCTACCTTCGTTGCCATTTTTCATAACTATATCACGTTTTTCCGGCTGGGCAGTATTTTTAAGCAAAGACGTCGGTCACTACCTCAAACTGATAAATAATTTATTAATCCTCTCTTTTCTCTCTCTCAAATCACCTTGTTGACAGAAGGTGAGGATTCGTGTCTTGACTACTTGACGGCACTCAACACCTCGGGCACAGTTTTTCCCAATACGGACCTCCCACCTGGCGAATAACATATTTATTCCCTGAACATTCCATACATTAGAAAAATATGTTTTTGAGAGTGTTGGTTCATTATAGGTGGGGAACCAGATACGGAATTTTATTGGCGTCTTTTTTTATTTTTCATTGTTTTTCAGACTTTTTCTAAGTGTGTCTATTTGAATGATTTCATTGTGCTTCTTTCCCCCCCCTCCCCCCCTCCCCCGCCTCTTTTTTTCTATAGGAACCCAAAGCATTTCGGGGGTAAAAAGTGTTCAAGTAAATATTTGCTTGTTCGATCGCGTGGTGGGATCCAGATACGAGAATAAAGTATCTGTATTTCCTTGCACGTTCTGGCATGACTCCTTATATGTTTCTTCCAACACTGATTTCTTATCTTACTTCGTTTATCTGGATATAATTTCTTCGAAAAGGAAGGTTTAATACTCAATTCTATGATAACATTTTCTCACACCAGGCTCAGGGAATCAAGGAAGGCTGGTCTTTCTGTATTGACACTTTTTTACATACACAAGCTAAGAATCTGTGTAACAGGGTGATTTGGTATTATCAACTGAGTTAATGACGCAGATTTGCCACCGTAAAGAGTTTTAAAGCTGGCGTTTCGAGCGAATGGCGAAGGACTAACTCTCGGAACGTCAGCTTTGAAACTCTTTACGGTGGCCAATTTACGTTATCAACTCAGTTGATAATATTAAATTACCCTGTTTTACTTTCCCACCGACACGGCACCGCAGTTTCTTTAGAAACTTACGCTCTTTATTCAAGAATCAGTGCAGCTTACAGTGCCTATTCGATTGAACGCCGCCCTCGAAAAAACACCGCAAAAAATCTGAAGATTAGGGCGTTTTGTCAGGATCATAAAAAGAAATATCAATTCAGATAAGTAATATTCCTTATATACCCTTGTTATAAACATTACAAGCCAGAGAACTATGATCCTGTCTCGAATAGAAGCCAAGTCTGCGACGCCAACAAGTTTATCAAACGTAGGGCGATTAATCTAGTAAATATGCACGGATATTATGTGCGCAAAACACATGATTGATAGCGAATATTTGTCGTTTAAATGATTGCTCAAAAAAGAGCAAAACCTCCTGGTAAATGAAGAAATTCTATCATTTATTCTGTACCATACCTTTCCACGAATCCTTCCTTCAGGACTTTTTCCATCCATGGTCTTCACATAAACAGTTTTCGTTGTTTTGTCGTAAAACCATTCGCCAGCATTGTCAAGAAACTCCAGCTTATCCTCCAGAAAGTACTGATTATGACCAGGTTTGAACTTTATGGCGCCAAAATTATCTTTATAAGTAAAAAAATTCTGTCCCGATCTATGGCTTTGGACTATGGCAGTAAAAGTGTTAAAGCTTCCGACATTGAGGATAGCCACTGCCCCAGTCACGTCAATACCGCTTCCGGCCAAATTCTTTTCACCACTATCTACCATTTTGCCCCTCGTAGATCTGGAGGAGGATTTTGCCCAGTACTTGTTTAAGAAAACAGTTTTGTCCGACCACAGAGCATTTGGCCAACGAGCGTTGGTCATCATTTCGCCGTCGACGAAAAGCTGCCAGATATCTCGCTCAATTTTGGCACTGTAAATTCCATCTTTGCCACGTTTCCAGCTAGATTTTCCTCGAGGTATAACTGGAATGGTGCCATCGATGATTGGAATTTCTTCTCCATAACCGCGTATAATAATAGGCTGGGATAGAGTTCCTTTTTTGCCTGATATCTGGAACTGCGGTTCGTGGTAACGTCCCTGGCGAATATGGCATTCATCACCAGGTCTATTTAGCGTTTTGATGCACTTGGTAATGGTTGCAAACGCTTGTTTGATACGTTCGCCCGTGTTGAAATCATTTCCTTTTTCCCTATCGACAAAGTAGACCGTACCACTCGCGATAAGTGGAAAAGCAATGAAAAAAACCGACAGTAAAATAATTTCTTTCATTTGAACAAAAAGAAGTCGGCTGTGCTAAAAAGAAATACGGTCACAGTTTAACTAATGTCGTTTGCTGTACAGATTCAAATTAAACTGAACTCTGCAGCAAAGAAGGTCTACATACGCAGCGAAGCAAACCTTTGTGTGAGAACAAGCCCTTGCGGAATCACAATCACTTCAAATAAATAAAATAAAATGGGTGTTAATTATGTCTGAAAGAGTATTTACTCAAGTCAGTTTTTTTCAATTTCACGATAAGCCAGAGGCGGTTTTTTTCCCCTAAAGCTGAAAAAATATCATTGAATTCTTGTTAGCACATAATTTAAATACATTCATTTGAAAATTTAAATAATGGCATCTGAGAATAACGAAGTATTTAAGCAAGACAAGTTTGTCAGTTACCTTGGTGTCAAAATGGTAAAATTTGAAAGCTCCCAGCCTCGATACTGTTTACAAAACCAACAATACATAAAAGGAAGTCTAAAAGACTTTGAATGAATAGGCGAGACTCTATTAAAACTAAAACTGGTTTGATTCTTTCAAGATAAAGCAGCTATTGTGACAAAAGCGTTGAGATTCACCAGAGGCTTCGTTTTGTTTGTATACTGACTATCGGTGATAAAGGTCTTTTGAATTTGACTAAAATGGATATGTGAAGCAGAATACAGTCGACTCCTTCTCGAAGGTCACTCACTTAGGCGACCAAAATGTTTTTCAACAGAGCGCTTTTCGATAGAGAGTCCTAAAACAAAAATCAAAGTAATTACAAACGGTCAATCAGAAGAGAGGAAATATCAATTTGTTATTATCCAACTGCACTAAGTAGACTGCAAATAGGGCGCGAATGGAGTGGAAATACCCTTCATTTCCTTCCTTCGTTTGCAAATATTGTACTGTTATTTTTGTCTATTTTGTACTGGTTTTAGTTACGGACAAGTCTCAGTATTTTATTTATATAATTACCATCTTAGACTCAACCCGTAATGATAACCTTGAAAGATCTTAAACCTTAATTATTCAAAATACTTCACAACAATTCACATGATCTTGAATCTTTGGTTGGTGTTGTGCAAGTATTAGCTTGAGCTTACAATTCTCATGAATTCAAACCTATCATCAATTTTACATTTCAAAGCATGTATATACCTTCTGGTTGTTGTGGGCATCCTACACGGTCACGGGTGGTAACGAGTTTTCTCAGAGATGTAAAATAGACTTTTCTTCATCCTTCCACGAATTCCTCTCCTCTCCAAATTATCTATTGTCAATGAATCTAGTGTGGGAAAGATTTAATAATTTGAATAAAAATTATGCCGATAAATGATCTTTCGGGCAAGTTCTGTTTCTTGATTTTTGTGAGCAGTCTAATTTTGAAGGCAAGGTTGCTCATCGCTCGTTTGTCCCTCTATTGCCGTTTCATACATTTACACAAGAAATTAAAAAAAAAAACAATTTTACTGAATCAATGATTCAGTTTTAAATAACATATCTACAATATTTTTTCTCCATGCCTAATTTACGAGCAGAGCTTGAGCGGAATTTTGATGTTTGAGCAGAATCTTTGGCAGAATTTGCGATATTTACGAGCTGTACTGGCAGGCAGAATTTACCATTTTGTTCAATCAGACGGTAACAAGACCCCCCCTTCCAGGGGTACCCATGTCCTGTCAAAGCAAAAACAAAAAACCCCGCTGGGTCTGAATGAAAGAGACAACGGGTCATATCAATCATTTTACCAAAAGCGCTATGACATATCAGTCTATATGGGATTTTCCTATCCAAAAATAACTTTGTCAATAACTTTTAAGACTCGAAGAAAAGATAATTATCGTCCCGCTGGTGTTCCAAAATCTACCGTGCACTGTTTAAAAACCCTCTGTTTTTTTCTGGCAAAAAAAAAAAATTCAACGAACAAGACAGGTCTTAGTGAATTTAACTTAAAACTATTTTTTGCATACTGCTCTTCACAAAACTCGTCCTTACAGGTAGGACTGTAAAACTCATACTCATGTAAAGTGGTTACGCTATTGTAGTTTAAATTTATTTCCTTCTATGGCAGGGAACACAAGACCTTGGACATAATGAAATATTAATTTTTACGGTGTAAGACTTTATATGCAATATAGAGCAGGTCTATAGACAGTCGAATTTCTTCTAAGGAAAGTTCAGGGACGGTAAGTATTCGAATAAAACATGATTGTGTTTATTTTTCTGTGGTCAAAACTCTCCATTGTTTCACTTTCCAAGGTCTCATAGTTGGATTGCAGCTTTTTTCTAATTTTTTTTCTTTGATAGATTTTTTAGTAAATTAGGTGATAAGACAGTTGTTTTGTTTTAGATGAACGCCCATTTAAGTGCCCCCCAGCTTAAAAGACTAGGACATGACAGAAAGTTAACAAAACCAAGAGCGAACATAGCTGTTTATTAATAAACAATAATGACAATAACGAAAATTTCAAGAAACCAATTTTACTAATTTTTCAAAAAGAGAGACACAAGCAAAGGTGAAAGAGCACGAAGTAGACTGCATCAAACAACGAATGATAAATGTAATGATTACTTGGTTAAATTGGGGAAATTACCCTCAGGGAATTGATACTAAGATTAGCCCTGAGAGTTTTCGAGCAGAATATAAGAATCGGGTTTTTGTGAGGCCGAGTTAAGCCCCGGTGGGATACGTTCTATTTGCCATCGAGAGCTGTAGTACCAAAGCTATCTTGAACAAGGCGAAATTTTGGGCTGGAAAATTTTTCGTAAATTTAATCTCATTTATCCCTTTCAAATTACCATGACAGTTTAGATTTAGTAATAACACAAAAGTGGCTTACATGGATGAAATATTTTACCAAAAAGTCTAAAATGAATTAAAACTGAATGCGTCGGGCCTGCACAAATGTTAGACAACATATTTAATACTGATATTCACATTTCTTTGCTTACAGGGAGAAGAAAAAAGTTTTCAAAGATCCTATCGCTTAAACGAAAATATTTTTGGAGTGGTCAACTTCATTCCCTTGCGAGACCTAAGGTGTTAGCTCTTCGAACAACAGGTAACAGGTTACAGCCCAAATTTGAGTTGACTCATTTTTAATTTAACAGTGGAATATGTCGGCTATTTTCCCGCCCTAAAGCTCTTCAAAAGTTTGACCATTTTGGTAACATATGGTATATGCTCGGAATTATTCAAGGTCGCAATTAAAATGATGATTTCTGGGTTTTATTCTCTGTGACCTTAACTAGTGAAGCGATTTTGTTAATTGTGTGCCTGCGATCTTCTTACTGTGACTAAACATTGTCCATAGCTACAGTTCGTTAAGGTGTAAAAATGAGCTATTTACAGCGAAAAAATATACCAGACACTAGGTAATTATGAGTCAGTCGATTATTTATCTTGATGATGACTTGGTGTCGAAAACGTTTGGTTTTATACTTTTTAAATATATTTTTGCCTTGTAAATAGCTCTCAATAAACATGGCTTCAATCGACTTTCTTTGGCTGGAACGAGTCTCAGTTTTAAGCATTTTTACAATTCTAAAGCATCCGTGGTTTGCCGCAATAACTTTCATGGTCTTAAAGCAAATTTAAGTAAAAAATTTAGACGACAAGCGTAAGCTTAAATCGAGATCGCACGCAGGACTGTTTTATGCTGTCATATCGTTAGCTTACGCACTCGATATTGTAGTTGAACAAAAACTCTAAGCAATCTTCATGACCTAAACTTTATTTTATGTCCCAAAGACACCAAAACCGAAACACATTTTAAAGCTGTTTTGTTAAACACAGTTTGAAATTTCTTTTATTATTTAAGCTGCTTAGCCTCGTGATGTTTGTCGACTTCAAATTTAGTACAAGTTAGTGTTTAAGTGAATTATATGGAAAGTTTTAGTTTTTAGTTTTCAGTTCTCTGTTTCTGATTGTCATTCAGTTAACCCTGGTTTAACTAAATATATCTTTGGCGTAGATGGGTATTAGACAGAAAAAAAAACTTCAGAAAATTTGAAAACATTTCGGTAAAAGCGTAATTTGTATGTTGTAGCTGCTTTTTTTACGGGGAAGGCCTAAGTCTCATTTATGTGAATGGGTACCATGCGAAACCATACTGATTTTCATTTTAAGAAAATGACTGAAAATAGTTAAGAATACGTGAAGACAATTCTTCAAAATTAATGAACGTTCATTTTTAAAAGCCTGGTCCTTGTTCTGTAATTTTTTTTAAAAATGAAAGTCTTTGAGGAGGTGTCTGCTTTGTAACAGAACCATACTTATCCGCAGTTCAAATACGACTTTCATATATTCACAGCCGTTCAGAACCATACTCATTCATAGTCGTTTCCAGGAAAATAGAAAATGTATATGGAAAGAATAAGGAATACATGAAAAAACATTCTACACAAAAATTATCAAGGTTCATTTTAAAAGCCTTATCCTAGTCGAGCATTTTTAAAGAAAACTCAAGTCTTTGAAGAGTTTTCTGCTTGGTAACAGGGTAATATTCATCTCTAGCTTTTATCGCGCCAGCGAAGTCAATTTAACCACCGACCTAACAGAAACGCAGCTGTATACATATGGAGTTCGTTCAGCATTTTAGCAAGATACACCTGATCTTTTCTTCCTTTTGTATTTTTTAAAATATATTTTCAAATAATAAAGTTGAATAATGAAAATCAAAGTAAGGCTCATATTGAGAACACCCAACATGTTAGTACAGTTGGTTGACAACTGCTTATGAGTTGAAAGGTGCCAGCTTAAAAATAAAGAAGGCGAAGGCTTTGATAAGCAAATCTCACAAAACTAAATAAATATTTCTTCTATCAGTCTTACACGAGACTTATTCCTAAGTCATCTTTGTAAATTTAGGCCATAATTCGGCTTTTTAACCAGAAGGTAAGGTAGTTCTAACTTAAAAAACCACAGATATTTAGATGTACGACAAAAAATGTTTGAATGCATGGATCTACACCAGTTTATTTTTTTTTTTCACAAAGTTGTGGTATGCGAATGGTTACTC